AAAACGATTGGACATATAAAATTTTATATGTCCAATATATTTTTAAATTATTGGACATATGTCCAATGCCAACTCTGGCTGTATGTATAACAATTATAAACATTAGATACAATAGTACAACTATATTAAATAACAAGCTTATTATAAATTTTTAATTCAAGATCTCTGTGGACAATGTCTTTTGAGTGCATATACATAATAGCTTCAAGAGCGAGGCGGAACTTATCGGACCAACTAAGATCCGGACTTTCCCTTATATAATTCATTAGTGTACTGTACCACCATCTGCAAACTCTAATACGTACTAACGCATAGCTCAATTCTGAATCAAGCACATTAACTAGTTGATTAATTATTTATATATATTTAAAATATTAGATTAGTGCTAGGAATTAAGTGAATACTTAATCCAGAAATCAATTAAAGTAGCGGTAATAACCTTTTGTTTTAGTGAATCCGTAAATTTGTATAATATTATCATATATACCCAATTTTTTATGCGATGTAATCTGCGTAGATGTTAGATTACTGTATATCTTAAAGTCATACCGGTACGTGCCTAGGTGATTTAGCATAATATACGTAAATACGTTCACTTTTACCTCTTTTAATATAGCCTTTCGAGAGGCTTTTCGTGAAATTTCGGATGATTCAACTGTCCTAAATATTTTCAATACAACATGCTCTAAATTCGAGTTCATTAATCCTGCTTGGTACACATCTGCAAACGCTCCACTGCCAATTCTTTAAATTGACTGAAATTATAATAATCTAAATCTAAGTCTTTTAAATCACTTTCAGTAATCATGATTTAAATTTATAGCTTATGAAAATATACATCATAGTGCGAATAATTTTTTGAATTTTAAAAAAGAGTTCCGGAGATAGACAAAGGTTTTAATTCCTGTGAAATTGTTGCACATCATTTTCTTACACTTGCGTAACTAGGAAATGCATATCGTAAATGACGATAGTTGTTAGACAGACCTTTTTTTGATCGAGATGGGTAGTGGTTTCTGACCAAAAACCTCGGTCCTGGCCCCTGAACAAGGGTTCGGAGCCATAGATCTGGTCTGCCACCAATAGTGGTTCAGGACTCAGAATTTTGGTTTCAAACTGTCAATTCAAAATGTATAAATATAACGTAATAGAGAAAATTAATTTTTTGCCCCGACTAAATCACTGAATAAAGTAAAGACGTACCCATACATAATTAACGTTCTAAAATAAAACCCTACAATAACTTTAAAACCCGTTATACCCTTGATTAAGAGTGCCGCTAACCCGTAATTGCACCTGGAAATTTGACAATAATTCCATATCTGCCGCATAGTGTAGGGTAGGGTACCGATCGACAACCTTACGGCACATATACCATTATTCGTACAACCTACATATTAAGTTTATTACCATACGCCGTTGGGGCTTCCGATATTTATACTAATTAATCAAATCTATATTGTAATAAAAAACTAATAATGCAGATTAATGCATAGATCGGCAAAATCGTTAAATTTGCTAGCGAAGACTAGTGTTCAAAAAATTGATTCATCTCACTACCAACTGTTCTTTTCTAGCAATTTATACATCAAACGATTAGTCTAACATAATTAAACAAAGTTACAGATTAAAATTTTTATTTTTATTATTTTTTAATTTTTTTTTTTTTTACAATGCAAATTCATTTTCTTAGTTTCTTACTACCTTACATAGATTTGATTAATTAGTATATATATCGGAAGCCCCAATACGCCTTGCAGAGGAAACTACCTGCTAGTATACCTTCCTTTACGCATCGATCCTCAGGCTTATGCTTGTAACCCTGAGCTAAATTGACGTCGCTGCGGAAGAGTCTCCGAAGAAGTTACAACAATGGCGCCAGCCAATGGTCGCAGCAAATTGCCAAAATTAAAATTATTTGGCTAAAATGAATTATGTTATTAGAAAACTTGGCTATTTACTATCGGCCGGCAGCCAAACTTGGCTGAAAGACCAAATTCTGCCAACACGGACTTTAATAGAAGATTATATAAAAACAGCAATTAAGGTATTTTTCGAAGTGTTACCGTAAATTCTCGAAATAGCGTTATTTCGAGAATTTACGGTATCCGGCATTTTATATGATCATTATGCAAAAATATCTAGGGATGTTAAAAGTCCAGCCCGGTCCGACTCGACTCCAAAAGTCGAGCCTTTATTAAAGTTCGGTTCCAAATCAGACTTGGAACTTACTCGCATCTTGAACATTTAAATGATCAAAAAAAAAAGTGTATTCATGCATATTTTGCATGCGCATATAGCGATCGTGCTATAATTAATATACAAGTTGCACGTGGAATGCAAGTCGGATCACTTTAATAAAGACTCAACTTTTTTGGAGCCGATTCAAAGGACTGACTTGGACCGGACTTTTAACATCCCTAAAAATATCAGAAAAAACATCACATGGCCATACATAACTGTTGGATAACATCAATATTGAGTATACGACAAATAGCAGGAAATTTTTTTCATCGTCTGCCCAATATTGCATACTTCACAGATAGATTACAAAATTAATAACTTTGTAATTCGATGTACACACTATAAAGTTATCTATTTGTTTTATCTGTTATTTATTATCTTTATTCTTTATAAAAGTTGAATTCGATGATTGCCCCGATTACAGATTTACTGCATCTTTTTCTTTTTTTTTTAACCTTTAGCCCTTGGCACGATCACGTTAGTGCCTAATCTATCAGTTACATGAGTAAAAACACGTGTTATCATCATTTAAACACAGATGATTAGATTTTTAAGAACTGAACGATACTAAAATTATTACACGAGTAGGTTTTTTTTTTATCTAGAAATTTAAGAAAAATATTGTTTTCATACATAAATTTTTTGAAATAAAATTAAAAGCTGGATAGCCGGATCGCTTTTTAAAATCTCATTTTATTAAATTAAATGGCCAAATGAGTATAATTTTAAGGATTTATATTGTCGAGAAAACCTATTTAAACTATGTGACGTTATTTGTATAAATTTGTTCTGCAATCATAGAAACAGTAAAAATAACTTAACTATGAGAGTATATTGTGTTCAGAGTATCTGTTACTGTTAAATTTTCTATAAGTTAACATTTCTATAAATGCGCATTCCCCGACGAGTGCACTTACGAATTGTTGATCATTTTGGATTCAACTCCACAGGGGATATGGAAATCCTAGATATTTACTAACCTGCTAATATTGAAATTCAACTCCAAGAATACATGAGGGAACTCTGATTCTAGCATTGTGGGTTCAAAAATCCGTGTAAGCAAGATTGCTTACCACTTAGAGATGGCAACTTTGTTACTGTATTCTGACTATACGCGCATATTATTTATTTACAGTAACTTTGTATAATACGATATTCTATTCATGCCAGTTTTTATTGCCTTCGAAGATGTAATATTCACGATTTTATGAAATTGGATAAACCGCTTACCAAAAATTAATCTATCTTTAATCAGGGCTAGATTAATAAATTCTTTAATATGAGTTTTCTTTAGTGAATCTTCTTCTTAAAACAATTTGTTTAAAGTGGTATTCAAATATAAATTTTCATTATCAAGATTACTGCTTTAATTTTAAAATACCGTACTGGCACGTAATAACGGACATGGGCGTTATTTCGAAACCCCATTTATTGGAAATTGATTTTTTGACTCAAAATAACGCCGATGCGCGTCCCAAAATAATGCGCCCCTTAAATGTACCATATTACATATTTGATCGAATTTTTCAGTCTAAGTTCATTATTAAAAGTAAGGCTTCCTCTTGCAACCCAAATTGTCAAAATAATTCGCATGCGCGTCCCAAAATAACGTGCAGGGTCTCGAAATAACGCGCAGATGCGCGTTATTACGTACCAATACGGTATTTAATAAAATAAACTTTTAAATACACTGTATTTAAATAGTATATATAAAGCTGAAAATCTTTGGTATCATTATTTTGTTTTAGTTCTTAACAATTTCAATAACTAATTCTAAGTTTTTTTACAGTTCTTAACAATTTCAATAACTAATTCTAAGTTTTTTTACACATAACGATAGCATTATGTTGGCAGTCATTCTTTAAAATGCTGTACTTGAAACTCTTTTATTACTCCTTTTTATTCCAATAAGAAAAGGGACAGAAATCAGCTGATTTTTTAAGGGATGGGGTTTGTGATTCAATCAGGTTATATATTTTTATAATTATGAATCAGGTGGCATGGGTGGTATAGCCTCTTAGTATTCCTCCTTTTTTTAAGAAATTTTGACATTATACATAATGGTAGGATTTTCATTATCAGCAGCTAATTCCTCAACCAAATTGATCCAAACGCCATTACCTTGCCATAAATAATCATACAAAGTTAAGCTTTAACTTTACCATAATCAACTACGTCGAAAAAACAAACTCTAGCTAAAAAAAACCTAAAGGCTAAGATATAGTTGGTAAACATTTTT